AAATCGATATTAAGTGAAAGGGCATTTGAATCAGCAATTGCAGCAAAAGCAGCATTAGAAAGGACTATGGTAGTTCCTTGTCTTGTAGGATTAGAAGCTACAGTTTGTGCCCGGTCAACGATCTTGATCTGAATAGTCTCTCCTGATTTACAAGCTCTGGGCAAAATTGAGCTAATGCAACTTATCAAATACTGTCTTCCACAAGCAGCTCCATCGTCCCAAATCCCTTCACCAGCTGCTGCAAAGAAGTTGCTTGAAGGAAACTGAGTTGAATCGCTCCCAAAACATGCACTGGCTGCTTGGCAAAAAAGGTGGAGAAATATTCAAAATTAAAAATAAGCTATAAAAGAAATTGGCAGCCTAGTGCACTAAGCTCTTGCTAAGCATGAGGTCCAGCAAATTAGGTCAACCACATTTAGTCAATTATATGTACGTAGCCTTATTTGGCATTTCTGCAAGGAGTAGTTTTCACGGTTTGAACACATAACCTCCAGATCACGCAGACATTTAACTCTTACTGTTGTGCAATATGCAATGAGAGGTAAAACAAGAGAATTTAGCATTTTGACATATCTTTTTTGTAGAAAGATAATAACTTACGTGTGTATGGTGGGCTATACTGGCTTGCTGTTCCTAAATCAGCTTGAGAAGCATACAAGAGTTGAGAGAATATTAGGAATAAGGACAACCATTGTAGAAGAAGGGGTAAAGGCTTTGACATCTAAAATGATGAAGCAACGTTGAAAAAAAAATATAATAGGATTATTATTTATAGTCTTTACTTATAATTATAAAAGAAAATAAAAATCAGAAATGAGGGAACTTTGTCGAAATTGCACACCAGGAGGGTGGAGGGTAGAGTTTTCTCGAATCTTTATTCAAGAAACAGCGTTTCTTTTATAATGATCTCATTTATATTCAAAGTCAACGATACTTGTTATTAGGTCTAACTACTTTTAATTAAAAGGAAGCTTCTCTTTTCTCATTTATTTCTCAACTGTCTACTAGGAGTAGCAGCCCCCTCCCCCCTTGGTGGATAATTAAATACTCAAATATTTATTACCTATTTGTGGAACTACTCGCATGGACATAAAAACCCACTAAGTAAAGCTGGAGAAACAACTAGGCGATCAATTGTTCACTTAAAGAAATCAGGCTAAAATATGCGTAGAAAAATTAAAGTTGACATAACATTCTTGAAGGTATTTAACAAACACTTCAAACAAAGAGGTGGAAAAGTAAGAACTAATAAAACTTCAAGCAGCTCTTGATATGATGGAAGTAAATTAATTACACAGGCAGAGAACGCAAGAGAAAAAATAAAAAACAAGAAGAAAATGGAAGACAACTAGTGCAAATTTTACGAGACATGCAAGTCTAGCAAATTGCGCAAAATATGCTAAGCTCTGAGATAAAGCTATTGCTGAGAATATATATATATATATATATATATATATATATATATATGCGCATGTGCGTCACACGTGTCATTCAGTACAGACCTTCTTAAGACAGTATATATAATCTAAAATTGCAATAAATTTGAAGGGAAAAACTAATTACAAGCTTAATGTGATGAACAATCAGTTTATTCAAATGACGTGACTACTATACGCTAAATAATTAGATATCGTCTTAGCGTGAAAAATTGAACAACTAAATTCACTTAGGTAGGTAGATATCTCTTTTCTAAACCTTACTGGAATTTGGGGGGAGATTTGATGACTCAGTAATAGGATTCTGAAAGCGTGTAATTGGGAATGCAGAAGCTGTTGGTAGAGGCAGTATCTTTGCTCCCATGCTTATTTTGAAAGTTGGATTTGATCCCAAAATATCAACCACGATAACAAAATGTATCATTCCAAAATTTGACTAGAGCCTTGAAGTGGAGCCTTGGAATAATAGTAAAGATCAGTCACAACTCACAACTTCGAGCCATAGAAGCAGCCACTAATACTTGCTTTAGAGTAGGTTGTCCACATCACACCCCTTAGGGTGCGGCCCTTCCCTGAACCTTGCGTGAACACAGGATGCCTACCTCCTGAAGAAATCAGAGCCAAATCTTGTCCTTTTCCTTTTTTCTTTTGTCTTGGAGAAGTTTATTACCATCCATTCTCAATGAAAAGTTAACCGAGGGACCTCTGCGTACTGTTTTAACTTTGAGAGATGTATTTTGTTGAGATGAATATTGGTGAGACGATTCTAAATCTCATGTCAATTCAAAGTGATATTAAAAAAAATTTTTCGAGGGATCAAATTTGTTTCCAAAAAAAATATAAAAGGCAAAGAAAATTGACAGAATGTAATAGTTCATGAAAACATGTCAACTCACTTGTGAATAAGCCATGACGTCCAAGTTGATTATGTTGTTCAACTTTTACTCTTAGAACATTAAGAGAATCTTGTTGCCAATTTTAGACTCTGTAAGGAGTCAACTTTTATTATTCTCTTTATTGCCTTACATAGTAGTTGAAAGACTAACAGCCGCTAATTCAGTATTGTTTAGGCAGAATGGCCTAAATGACACTTGTACTTGTGCCACTTTGTCATGCCGGTCCCTCTACTTTATATGTTTTCATCCAGACATTTCTACTTGATCAAAACTTATATTTTAAACCATTCTGACCGTTGACCAAGCGTATGTGGCGTTTATTTTGCTGAGTCAAATGAAGTGCGTGGTCACACGCTTTTAAAAGCGGGTGAATATACTGGGTTTGATTAAAAAAAAAATATTAAAATCAAAAGAAACAAAAGGCCTCAAAGGCTCATTACGTCAACCATTAGTGATTCTCTTGGGTGATAATTAATCAACTTATCTCCATACAAACAAAAGTGAAATTTTTCTTCTTCCCCAGATCTGCACAAAGAACAAATATGTTAACTATTGTCAAAGTAATACAGAAACATCAAAATTAGAAGGAAGAGCACGTATTCAAGCGAAATTAAATTCTGGCCAAATTTTTTTCCAAGATCTGGTAGTTCGCCTAAGTTTATTTGGGATCTAATAACATAAAAGAAGAGCGGAAGTCGCCGGCCAGTGTTGTGGTGGAAGGAAGGTCCCGAAAAAGTTATATTTCCGGCTAGATCTAATTTATTCGGCTGGGTCTAGACCTGTAAAAAAACTAACAAACAGTTAGAGAAAATAAAACAGGGGGGAGGGAAGATGAAGAAGAGAAACGACAGAGATAGGGAGTGAAGCAACAGTCACCAGATTCTGAGGTGGGGGTTAGTTTAACTGTGTTCGAGCTCCCAAGAAGAGTTTTATGCTTGGGAAAAATCATGATCTAATTTTTTACATTTCATAATGGGTTTTATAGGAATTGTAGGAAGAAAAAAAGAGACAGTATGATTTCTCATCGTGGGAGAAGCCATGAAAGGTGATGGGTTAAGCTTGAAAGATGAAGAACAGATGAAGAATTGGTTTGGGGTTGGGGGGAGGTTAATAATCATTTCCCGTTTTATTTTCCTACGTGTCCATAATAAATGACCTGGAGCCTAAGTGGATTAATTTTCTTGACGTGGCATCCTACGTGTAGGAGATTGTATTACACGCTTCCTGTCATAAGCGTTTATTATACACAGTTTGAATGAGTATAAGAGTTCAATTAACAAATTGTTAAGTTTGGGAACCGGCATGACAAAGTGGCACAAGTATAGGTGCCATTTAGGTCATTCTGCCTATTGTTTATGTTGAAAATTTCTTATAGAGGGCATCGGAACAGATGATAAAAAAAATATGTGGCCTTAAGTTTTTTGTAATTTTAAACTAGAAATGGCATAAATGTAGGACCTGGAAAAGGTGAATTTCAGATAGGCAATATCGATCAGCTCCTATGTTATATAGCACGTATCTTAAGTGACAACCATCACGTTCACAATGTATTTGTATCATGTCTTATATTGTATATTTCCCTCTGTTTCAATAGTTTATTCAAAAACGAATGACACAATTTTATATTTACAATCTTTTTTGTTTTAAACTTTTTATTTTACATTCTCTTTAAGTTTAAAAACAGAAACATCATAAAATGTATAAAAGTTTCTTACTTAAACTTCACATCCAATCATATATTTTACGGGACAAGAGGGGTTGCTCCGATGGTCAGCACCCCCTACCTACAACCCCAGGATTGTGGGTTTGAGTCACCAAAGGAGCAATAGCTCCAACAAAGGGGAATCAAAGGGAAGGGGAATTAAAAAAATCATATATTTTACGTAAAATGAAATGGAGGAGAGTATTATTTAAGAATTACTTCCTCTATATATAGACGATAACGAAAGCAACGAATCACAAATAGGGTTTCGCTTTTCTGAAGCAGAGGAAAAATCGAAAGAATTTGTTGTAAATGCTCTAGAATATTTATGTATCCTAAACTATTCCCACAAATGCAAGTGTTCGACCATAACTCATCATAGTCACTTTTACCCACAGTAGTCATTGTGATTATCACCTTTGTATTTGTATTTGGAAGGTATATATGCCTTTGAAGCTATACAAGGAATTTTCAGTGAGTAGCGATGGCTTTATTATTGGAAAACAGCTCTAAACACACTAACAATCAATTCCAATTGCTATATGGACGATGGAGTTTCTATCATGAAAAGGAAGAGTTCGTAATCACCCTTTCATGACCCTCAAAGAAGTGAAGTGATTTTCACTCACTTAACTTTTACACTAACGCGGCCCCCCTGCTTATTTTGATTTTATTTATATTTGAATTGCTTGGTGATGGTTTGAATCTGATGCTTGCCTTATTACTTTTGTGAAATGAAAATTTATGTTTGCTGTGAATCTGATGCCTTTCTTGCCCTTTCCTCTTCTTTCATGTGTTTCTGTTCTGGAAATGTCTATTTGAAGCCTTTCGCTTTGCCTTTACTTTTCTTGGACTATAAATAAGTGTAATGCATTTGAGTTATTTCATTGTGGAAGCATTTTTGGAGAGTTCAGCTTTTCACGAGTACTAATAATCTTTTGAGAGTTCTAACCATACTACCCATCAATGGCAAGCCAACAACAACCTCGTCCATTGTTCCGTTTCGCTTCTATGGTTCGTCCTGCTGCAGCTGCACAACCTTCAGCTCCAGCTCCAGCACCCGCCCCACAACCATTATTCCGGACAACGACTACCACCCCATTTAGGCCTCCGGCATCAGCAACTACTGCTGCTGCTACAGCAACTGTTGCTACTGCTCAGCCAACTCAACCTCAAGAATCTAGACCACAAACACCAGCTACTGCTTCTGCTCCTCCTGCTGCCGCCCCTGCACCACTACCGCCGGCACCTCCTCAGCCACAACAACAACCAGCAATGTCGGCCCCACGGAGCCCGATTTCAGCACAGAAGCCTCAGCCAGTGGCTGCAGCTTCCCCACGTTCCACTCCAGCTACTCCACCTCCAAGATCACCTGTTGCTCCTCCTCCACCTGTTGTTTCGCCACCAAAGGCTCCTTCACCACGTTCTCCGATGGCAACACAGCCACAACGTGCCCCCACCGACGTACCTAAATCTCCTGTTATTAAAGCCACCACATCAGTGCCACAATCCCCATTCAAGACATTAGCTTCCAATGTAACAACAGAGAGAGCTCCGCTTGGTCAGTTTAGTAGTCCGTATTCTTCACCACTACCATCTCCAAACACAAAAATGGCAGATTCTACCCAAACTCTCATCAATCAATCGTCACCATCAAAAGCTCCAACACCATCTCAAAAGGTAATCCAGCCTAATTTAGTGAAAACCCAAACCTACTCTCCTCAAATTAAGCCTGCAGTTTCTCACCCTCCATCCCCACTAAAGCTTCCCCCTCCTCAACTTGAACTTGAGTCCAAGAGTCCTCCACATATTGATCAGAAAAGTGTTGTGGTCCAAGAAACCACGAGGGCTAGCATGAATGGTAATCATGTCCCGCAGACCAATAGAAATGGAAAAAATGTAGAAAACGGGAAACGAGAACTGGTTAAAAAAGATAAAGGGGTTCAGCAGAAGAAGGTGTCTAATTCTGATACAGGAGATGACTTTGGAATGAGTGTTCTAACACTAGCTGGTGAAAACAAGGGGGCTATTATGGAGTTAAGCCCTTCAAGGAAGACATACAGCCCTCAGAGCCATCAAAAGCAAGGAAGCCCAAAGGCATGGAGTAGCAGTGAGGATGATGGAGAAAAATCAGGGAGCGAAAGTGGTAGGAAAAGAGAGAATAAAATGCCAAATAAGTCCCTTCCTATGACTGCATTCATGAACAGCAATGTGCAGGGTGTCAACAACTCCATTCTCCACAATGCTTCTTGCACTCACCATGATCCTGGTGTCCACCTTGTTTTTGCAAGAAAGACCAATGGTAGGCATGGGTTCCACATTAAGGGAAGTCCAAAGAGCTAAAATATGTTTAAAAGACAGTCAAACACTCAGAGTCTTTTTCATGTAGGGTCCTTTATTTCTATTGGTATTTTGAAAGAATAAATTGAGTGGTTCAGAAAAGGGCATGGATTCTGACTCTTCATGCATGGCTGCGACCCACTTCTCAAGCACGAGAACCATCCTTGCCTTTGGAAGGACAGAGAGAATCTATGCACAATGTTACTACATGCAATAAACCTTTCTTATGTATTGAGCATTATTATTGTTCTATGTAATTTGTAACTCCAATATATAGAGAACTTCCCATCTCTTATTAATTTAGATATATTTAGTAAATATTGAATACCAGCTTTTAAGATAACAAACAATGAGAACTGGATGCATAATATTAATAGGCTGTATTACCTTGAAAATGAATGTTAAAGGGAATAGGTGACCAGGGGCGGATTTAGGGGGCGGAAGGGGTTCATCGCCGAAAAATTACACTGTATATATAAGGTAAAATCTGGTTTTTACCTCTATATATTAAGTTTTGAACCACCTTTAACACAACCCAAAGTGTAGTTTAGTGGTCAAGGGGGTTCAAAACCTTCATAAGGTCGTAGGTTCAATTCCCACTAGCTACAAAAAAATTGTTTATACAGATGCTTATACTCTGCTCGTGCATTTATTTGCACATATTGATCCGATCGTATTTGGTATGCTGAAAAGGAACAGCTACTATAAATCAAGAGAATCTCTTTTTTGGTTCGTAATTTGGGACCAATTCATATACAATTAAGCATGGAGATCATCAAAGTCCGTCGCCTTATGGTCAAATTTTCATGTATGATTTTGTAACTTCAGTTTTTAATTAGACTGAAATGAATAACACACATTCAAACACTTGAATATGAAGATCTATTTATTTGCTTTTGAGCTTAGTAAATCCAAAAGGGGAATTCTATAAAAAAGAACTACCAACTAGAAAGCGTTTTGTGTAACTAAAGGCCAGTAATTAGCAGTCCAAGCAATAGGTATATAATCGTAAACAAAGCAAGAAAACATGACGTAAATAACCAATTGAAGAAGAAGAAGAAGAAGAAGAAGAAGAAGAAGAAGAAGAAGAAGAAGAAGAAGAAGAAGAAGAGGAGTCGAATTATTACCTGCAAAATCATATGTCTAAGGATAGAGACGCTGGATTGAACAAATTGTCAAATCGCAAGTGGAAATTGCTAAGGCGTTCTGAGATACTACATTCATAGATACACGGCGTTAATTCTTAGGGTTTAGTAACGATCGATCGTATCCATATAACACCTCTCCCATCTTCTGGCTTTAAGGAAATTATTCCGGCAAGGTTGTGCAGTATCTGAGTTTTCATCTTCGTTCTAAGGAGAAGTGGTTAAATAAGGAGTGAAAAAGGGAAGTTGAAGGGTGGCGTTAATGGCGCAAGGCCGAAAAGGGAATGGAGAAAACGGTGATTGGCCGGCAATTGATTTTGGGGCTGCTTGGTTTATTGATTTTGGGCTTGCGTTGCTACAATGAAAGGCCTGAGAACGGGGAATCACGAAATGGACTAAGGTTTGCTAGGAATAAAGGGGCATTTGCATCTATATCTTATGTTGGTCATATTTTCATATGTTTTGATATTTATTTACTCGTATTTTTATTGTCCTTTGGTTATACAGTCAGACCTCTCTATAATAACATTCTTATATAATATCATTCATTATAAAAGTCGAGTTATTCTTGGAACCGAGTATTATATTATGTTATAATATATGTCATCTATAACAGCACTTCACTATAGCAGCCAAAAAAATTCGAAACAAGCGAAGCTGTTATATAGAAGTCTGACTGTATTTGATAATAAATATGCCAAATTGGCTTGCTTATTGAGTTTTATACTTATTTGGGTTTTAATGAATAATGTAGGTACATTGAAGGTGAAATTTGGAGCAAAATGAAAAAGTAACGTTATAAAATTTGTAGTATTGGAGACTTGAGTTAAAGAATTAAAAGTGAAACTCCTTGTTCTCAAATACAATTGGAGAATCATTAATAGTGCTAATTCCAAGTAGCATGTGGCAGCAAGTAGAACGTGATTAGAAGAGTCAATTTAGCATTTGAATTGTGGAAGGCATCAAAGATTGGTTGAAAACATACAAAGTGAGATGAATGTAGAAGTTAGGCAACAAATTGAAGTAGAAAAGATGAGCAACGCGAGGCAGACCATTTCCTTCGCGTCTCATGTCGCGAGGCGAGGCCTAGCGCGGGCAATTCCAGGCGCGACGCACTAATGTCCGGGTTGGAGGCTATTTTGTTTCTTTGTTAATTTTGGACTTTATTTTATCTAGGTTTTTTTCTACGCCTATAAATAGTCTTTACACATAATTTCTAAAAGACTTTTGACCAAGAAAGAAGAAAGAGCCGCCGCGGAAGCCGCATTTCATCTTTTCTTCCGCCAAACTTATTAATTTTTATGTTTCTTTAGATGATTTGTTGCTTTGCAACTATGTTTATGTGGAGCCAAACTTCACGTTCTAGGGTTGTGATTGTCATAAATATTGAAGTTTATTAACTACATCACTGTTAATTCGAGTTATCATCTCGGTTATTTCTCTAATTCTGTGCATAATTGTTTAATTGTTTGGCCAACAATTGAGTTCTATTTACTATTTATGCTATGCTTGGAAAAGTCGTGTTTAGATTTGAACAGAATTAGAGAGAGCTTGTTTCTGAACCCGTGGCGGGGGGGGGGGGTGGGATTTCGTCGAGTTAGTAAGTAGGAAGTATACCTAACTAGTCTTGCGTTAGTTGTAATGTCGTATTTTCTTTCGTTCTATGTATCGATTCTAATACC